CGGCCATCCTCTCCTTTACAGCCCCAACTGGGATGGGAATACTAACTGCACGCATGCGGGACATTCTAACAATGTGGCGGCGACGTCACGCCGCACAGCACAGCGGCTGCGGGCGGTGGATACGGCACGGCACGCCGGCACGGCGCGGGGGAGGCAACTTCCCAAGACTGTCACTGGTCCCCGCCCAGGCCGCCAGCCGCCATTGACCCCGAAACTAACCACCCGTATTTCCTGACTTTGAGGGTAGTTACAACCGGGGCCGGGGCGTGGTGGTCGTGGGCCTCGGGTCGAGCTGGGCGCCGGGGCCTCTGAGGGACCGCAGCGCGCCGCTGGTGCGCACCGAGTGACTCCCGTCCCCGTCCCTGGCCGCGGCGCCACACGGCCAGGAACCGCTGACCGGCGTCCGGACACCACTAAATTATGGTATCTGTCTCATCTTCACATTTAAGTTGTACTATCGCTCTATGAATTCAACTGGAAACACAGTTAGTGAATGTGCTGTAGTTGTGTGAATGCCTATTCCTACACTTAGAGGAGTAAAGGAGTGAATTTGACTTCAAAATGCAAACACCTCTTACTCTAGGTGTAGGAATGGCGTTTACACACCTGCGACATTCTCACGCTTAGGTTTCTAGAAAAGATAACGTTCCGGGATGTTTGTCAAACTATAAAAATGCATGTAAAACTCATCCCTTGCTCATGCAACAGCGCCGATACTGAAAGACATTTATTTTACCTTTTGTTTTTGTTGGTTTTGTTTTTGCCCGCGCGCCGGGGAATTGGCTCGAGCGGAGTGACTCGACCGTTCGCAAAAACTATCGAATGTTTGCCCCGGTTTGGCACGGGCAAAATATATCGACCCGCCCGGCTCAGTTTTACTATCGGGAGCGGAGGGGGAGCCGGCGAGGCAAGACACCCTTGTAAAATACCACAAGTTTCTCGTGGGCGCCAAGCAGGCCTCCTCCTTGGCTGCGCGCGCCCCGCTAGCAGCTCCATGGAGGGGGCCGCACTCGTGACGTACGACGGAGGGCGAGGGAAGCGGGAAGACTGCTCGGGGAGGATATGAAGAGGGGGAGAGAGAAAGATGCGAGGAACAGGAGGGAGGAGAGACAAGCAGGTAGAGAGAGAGAGAGAGAGAGAGAGAGAGAGAGAGAGAGAGAGAGAGAGAGAGAGAGAGCAAAGGAGGACTGGCTGGGAGAGGAGTACGAGGGGGCGCATTGGATAGAAGCGTTTCCAGAAGACGTGAACTTCCACGGTAAATTCTGCTTGCTGGACTGATCGTTCTCGGCTGCGTTACTCTCCTCTACCTACAAAGTGTTCAAAACCAACAAAACAAACAGACACGTCGCGCACGCGCGAACACACACGGCAAAAACAAGAGACGTTTTCAGGAAGCCGGCCGACTTGGAATCCAAGACGGATTCCTTGGAAAACAAGCTGCTGGGCACCTTTATAAACATAAAATGCTGCTTGTATAAAACAAGCAAAAATTACTGGTTTTCATTCAAGCTCAAAAACAGGCACTTCCTGATTTTACACCCACTGCTTGAAAAACGGTCTCCTCAGCTCGAAAATCATGCAAAGCTCCTGTTTTTGCCGTGCACATACACACACGCGCAAGTGGGCCAATGAGTTCCACATGGAGTGGAGGCCAAGGTCTGTCGTGGCGTTATTGTGGTGTAACCGTTGGCAGAGTGCCTGGCGCCGCGCACCGTAGGCAACACCGGCCCAGGCCCTCTAACTCCCCCCCTAAAGTTTCTCTCCGGGCCCTGCGGGGTCGTCCGCTCCGCTTCAACCCAACCAGCCGACCCGAACCCAGCAGCTCGCTGGTCGGTCGGTCAGTCGGACGGGCGGACGGACGGACGGACCTGCGGACAGGCTGTGATCTCAAACGGAGCCACCTCTCCACGGAGGTGAGGCTGAACGAGCGGGAACCGAGCCCTGGCTCACCTCGGCGATACCCGACCGGAAGGAAGCATAAACGGCGAAAGGAAGGAGTGGAGAGGAGAAGGGCTAGGGCTGTACTCTACTCGCACTACGCAACGCACACCCAGGAAACATTTTCTTTGGGAAAAATAAATTGTTTTTACTACCACGAAAACTTCATGCCAAAAACGAGAAACTAACAGATGACGAAAAAATGTATTTTATACCGCAAACATTTCGTCAATTTGAACAAAATTAGTTAGTGTCACACATAAACACAAACACACAATGGCGCTCACGCTCACACACACACACGCACACACACACGAGGTGTGCCGCGCTATGGCCGCAGCGCCGCCGGCGCGCCAAGTTGGAGGGTGCGTCGCAATTGCAGCCGGGCACGCTACGCTACGCACCTGTTCTCCATGGCGGCGACAAAAGGGACCGGATGTGACCGGACGTGACCCCCCGCCGAGGCTGCCAGCAGCGGCTTGCTTTGGCGCGGAGGAGGCCGAGAACGGCACCGCAACCACGAGCGCGAGTCGGCGCGCCTCAGGAAAATAATTCGTCGTTCAAAAGTTAGGTATTTTTCGCGCCAACTTCCATGACAAGCAGAAAGGCCGACAACAACAGCGAGTGTAAAGAGACCTGGCCTTTACACCATGACTGTCATTCGCAGCTGATACCGATCAGTTGACGGAGCAGACGAAAGACGCACGCGCGGCTCTGACGCGACGCTCTGCACGACACCCACTCGAGACGGCCTCGACTCCGCACGCACGCGCGCACGATCACCACGCACGGTCACGCACAGACACGGGCTTCCACGCGCTGTGCTGCCATTCACAATACTGAACCACACGGGCGGGCCGCGCGGTGCGCGAGGACGCGCTGGTGGTACATGGGAGCGAGAGAGAGAGACGCACGGCGCGAGCGGGACAGAGCGAGAGAGCGAGAGACAAAGGTTCGGACGGAGACGACTTCTTTATCTTCTATCTTATCTCAGCGGCCCCTCGAGCCAGCAGAGCCCGCCAGCTGACGGAGGGAGCGAGCGAGCGCGCGAGGCGAGAGCGAGAAAGCGTGAGGAAAAAAACTTACGAGAAGGCTTTGCTCGGGGAAGCAGATATAGAGGGCGCTGAGCGGGATCATTTCCCGCCTCGTCATTCAAACGCTGCCGCCGCCGCCGCCGGGCCGACTCTATCGACGCGGACCGGAAGCGCGTCGGCAGGTATACATGACACGACAACTTTATCAAACCGCAACAGGTGCCAGAGTGGGTAGCCGTGTTCGTTATATTGGGTTCAATACACCCTGCCCGCCCGGGGCCAGAACTACATTCTCTCTCTCTCACACTGTGTCTGCCCCGTCAGCCCCGCTCATCCTCCTGGAAGACAGCCGTCACACGCCACCGCGCAGCCTCTCCTCCTCCTGATCGAGATGATCACGCCCCTCACGGGGACTATTAACAACCCCCTCAGAGACGTGCCGCGGCCGCCAAGGCGGATGTGATGTGGAGCGACGTGGCAGCGCAGGCAGGTCGTACGGGGGCGACGGCTGAAGCGAAACGTCGCACTGCACACCGCGCCGTGCAATGTTGCAAATGGCGCAAAAATAAAATGGAACTGCAGAATAACACAACGACAACAAGGCCATACCCCAACGACATGAGGCTAAACCGCCCGCTTCACACCCCCCTGCGACTCGCCACGCCACGCCACTGCAGACGGGAGAAAAATCTGGCAGTCCATCACCAAATCTCGACCCCCTCGCTGCTGCGAGCCGGGTCCCGCGCCGCCCAGCAGCAGGCGGGCAGGGGTTGAGCAGCACGTGAGCGGGGTGGGGTGGGGTGAGGCGGGGCGGGGCGCGTCCTGTGTCTGATGTATGGCTCGGCTCGCTCTGGTGTTGGCATTGCGAGGGAGAGAGGTGAGTGGATGGATGGTGCGCACGGGGGCCCGGCTGGGGCGCGGCGCGGCGCGGCGTGGCGTGGCGCGGGTGAGGCAGCACCGCCAGGTCCCACAATTTGATTTTATAGCAACAGCCAGCGCAGCGGCCACAGCAGCAGCAGCAGAGGAGTAGCGGTGGCGGTGGCAGCTCCGACTCCGACCCAGAACTGACGCGCGGCGGAGCGCCTCAGTTCGGGGTAGAGAGGATGTTTAGCCGGCTTCGCTACCATCCCGGCCGCGCGCTTTGAAGGAGCCGCGCCTCGCGGATGGCGGCGTAGTGTAGTAAGCCGACTGGCGTGCGCTATATGAGTCGCTGAGGGGCGTGTGAATGCGAGCGAGCGAGCGAGCGCGCGGGAGTGTCTAGAGAACTGTTCCACGGCACCAGACGCAGAGCAGAGGGCCTCTAGGACTCTACTCTGCCAGAGGCATACAGCACAGCAGTGCTTCCCCGGCGGCCCTGCCCTCGCAGCGCACTATAGTATATTGATGAACGCAGTCTGTGTAGATGGGGGGGGGGGCGCTGTCAGGTGAGCGACAATGGGGCTCCGATGTCGGACACTGACATGCACGCCCCTCCCGCCGCCACCACCACCACCACCACCACACACACACACAACACCGACTGTGGCGCCACCTGTGGACAGAGTCGACACACGACACGCCGGCGACCCGACCCTCCAACCTGAACCTTGCAGGCCGGGGGTGGTGGTGGGAGCGTCGGCCTCAGGGGGTGACAATGGCGGTCAGGGTGCGGTGCGGTCAGGCGGCCGCGGGGACGACAGCACGGCGACCCCTTCGGGTCCAGCAGCCGATGGACCATTATAGCCTCGTTAAGACACGCGAGGCATGTGAGCGCTAAGGGCCGCCCGGACCACCCCGCCGCGCCCCGCCCCGCCTCGCCATGCCTCCTCCGTTCCGATCAGAGGCCGAATTGAGGTCAGTCTCCGCGGCTCGCCCAGCCGCCTGGTCCGGCGCAGCTCCGTCGGGCCGCCGCTGACGAGAGAGAGACGCGATTTTCCGCCGATTTAGTGGCCGATGGGCCGAGCCGAGGGGCCAGGTGAGGCGGCGGCGGCACACACCACCCCACGCAGGAAAAGAGGGGATGTCCATTATTAATTGCGTAACCCCGCATGTTTTTTTCGATCTCTCTCTCTCTCTCTCTGCCACCCCACTATGGGCAGAGGTGTATGGCGAGAGACGAGAGGGGGGAGGATTGACAGAGATAGAGAAAGAGGAATGAAAATGGAGAGTGAGAGAGAGGGAGCCAGTGAGGGAGAGAGAGAGAGAGAGAGAGAGAGAGAGAGAGAGGGAGAAAGAGAGAGAAGGACGCAACAGTAGTAACACGAACCATTACGTGCCATGTGCGGACGCAGAGGCCGGATATAGGCAGCGCGCGCACGGCCGCGTACGAGAGTTGCCTACCTACACGGCGCCCGCCTGGAGGCGCGCCCGCGCTCCGCAACGCACGCGCAGAGACGCACGAAGCCAGAGCGCTTTCTGTTGCGGCTGCGGTTCCCCGCCCCCTCAATTCCCCTTCGCTCTCTCCCTCTCTCTCTCTCTCTCTCTCTCTCTCTCTGTTTCCCTCTCTCTTTCGCGCTCACTCTACCCTCCTCCGCCTCCTATAGCGTGGCGCTGCTACCCCTTTTTCCATGACTCGCAAACAAGCTAATCATGACAACAATCACAGAGGCCCGTGAAATAAGGTGGAGAGGGAGGAAGCGGATAGGCGCCGCTGGGAAGGGCGGCCGTCAGAGGAAAGGGGGAGGCGGGAAGGCGCAAAGTGAGGATGAAAATGCAAAGAGCGCCGAATGCGGAAAAGCTGGCAATGAGTAAAAATGGTAGCAGAGGCAGAGAAAGGAGAGAAAGCAGACGAGAATGAGACGAGTATATAGACGCCCAAGGGAGAAAGGAGAGTGTGTGAGAGAGAAAAGGGATGCAAGAGCCCCGCCCGTACGACAGACGCGACGCTCCGCCTCGCTCGGAGGGCCTTGCTATTTCAATTACCTCCATCCACACTCTTCTCCGCCCCGCCCCCATCCTAATGAAGCTAGTTAAGCGCGATGCACGCTGATGGTGCAGCCAAACCTTCACCTGGCAGGGCGTGGCGGGGCGTGGCGCTGCCGGCTTTTGTGGCCCCGGACCGCACCACCACGCACACGCACTGCTCGTCAGCGGGGATGTAGAAGGGGGGGGGGGGGACGATCCCCAGCTGAAGCGGCTCGGGCCCCCGCATTAATTCTCTTCCGTAATTTCAAAAGTTCCCGCGCGGCTCGACGGCGCGCAGGCTGGGTGGGGTGGATATGGTTATCCTCATGGGTCGGGGTGGGGTGGCGCGGCGGGGTGGCGCGGCTGGAACCCGACACAAGCAATACAATTTAAAGGATGAGCAGAGCCGAAAGGAGCCATGGTGGCGGTGGCGGTCGTGAGCGGTCGTAGGCGACCGTGTCGGTCCACTGTGACTCCGTGGCTAAGACCGCTCGCTTGGCGCCCGCCCCTCGGAGCTCTTCGACATTCCCGCCCGGGCACACAATGGCGCCCGCCCGCCCGCCCCACCTTTCCCGCCCACGGCCGTGTTCGTTTCAATGTTCGGGAGTGGGGCCGGGCCTCGGGCCGGGCCGAGCGGCCAAGGCTGCCCGGCCTGCAGGGGCACTAC